CTCCTTAGACCAACTTGAAACCTGGTGCAACAGGTGGAAAGTCAAAATTAATCCCAACAAAAGTTCGGCTATCCTTTTTACCAAACGAAAAATCCCACAAAACCTTGACAGACTGACACTATCCCAGGAACCCATCTCCTGGAATCGACAAACACGATACCTGGGCGTGACGATGGACCAGCGTCTCACGTGGAAACCGCACATCGTGGAGACGGTGGCGCGAGCGAAGACCACCAGGGCTAGGCTCTATCCCTTACTCAAAGGTGGAAACACCCTCAGTTTAAGGAATAAGCGAACGCTTATCAAGGTGGTACTTCAACCGCAGCTAACCTACGCCTCCACGGCGTGGGGTCACGCGGCAAAAAGCCACTTAAAGTCATTACAGGCTGTGGAAAACATAGCCCTCCGCACGGCCACCGACGCGCCCTGGTACGTAAGAAACACTGACATATTACGAGACTTACAATACACAAACGCTACACAGACAATAAGACAAAACGCGGAGAAACGATTTGACGTAGCCGCTAGACATGACAATCCCCTCCTCAGGCAAGCCGTTGACTACGTACCCGACCACAGTATATTGATTCGTTGACTACGTACCCGACGTGACCGACAAACACAAAAGACCTAGACACCAACTTTTTGACCCTGGGTGACCACCCCAACGACTCCGACTAAACTTTGTATGATTTATTTAAATATAATTTACGATTTATTATTATTTATAGCATGTGGATGCAACTGTAAATAAAAAACTGTAGGTTTATATTTATTTCCTTATTTATTATTTATATGAACAAGTTGTATCTTTAACTATTTGAATAAAATAATAAATTTAGTACTGCCTTCTATTAATTTTAAATTTAAAAAAATCTGTATTTCAGGTTGTAATAATAATGTTTTAAAAAGTATAAAATTTTATTAAAAATTTCTTCAAAAATAAACATTTTCTTCTTTTTAACTCTTATTGTCTTGTTACTACTAAAAAAGAGTTAATTTCGTAACTAAAACAAAGTTTCTTTTTAAATCAATGTCGTGTTATTTGTATCCTGGCTCACATGACAGACCGTAACAGGATTTATATAAGAATTGCCAAAGTAAGAAGACTAAGAGGGAAATACAATTTTATTTGGGATCCACAAAGTGTTGGATTTGCAGATTGCTTTATTTCCTAATGGAACGCTAACATTAGAAAAATTGACTAAAAAAATTAGTTACTCTAATAGTATTAATAGTTAATACGCACAATGTAGTTATAACCAAATAGACAATTTAAAATAAACAAAAATGAATATATTAAAGAGAAAAAAGAAAAACAAAACAAGCCAATCAGTGAGCGAAAAAAATAGGTGTTACAGTACCAGTAGCACAAAATAGCCAAAACAAAATAAAAATAGGTAGGACCGTCTAAACTATATCATGTACAGCAAAACTAAAATAAAATGGCTAACTGCCAATTGTGCGAATACAATACTAAAATTTTATTTTAACTTAACTTATTTTATTACTTAAACCAAGGTATGTCCTTTGACATTGAACCACATATACATATGTCGATTAATATATTTAGTTATCGAGATAACATTGTAAACAAAATTTTTAATTTTTTTGCTATGAAAATTCCTAGGAGGAACGCCCCAGAGCTACCTATACATTCACCATTGGTACCGTGTTTTAAAATTAAAAAGGTGACAACCCTGTGCTACATTCCGTGACTAGTACTCAATTGCGTCGGTAAACAGTTAGTAAGTAGTAACTATTTAAAGTAAAAATTGAAAATTATATATTTGATTATCGCATTATTAAATATTATTAAGAATCTTGTCTAAGGTTAGATATTTTTTGCATACGCATGTTTTTGGTGCCAAAGAACATTAAATGATTTACTGCACTTCATAGGATTTAAAAAGAAATAGTTATTAAAATTTTCCAATGACCATTTATTGTTCTTGTTCTAGCAATTTCATCATGATATACATATATAAACGAATTTATAAAAGCTCTTTGTGTAATAACTGATGTCTTTTTAGATGTCCCTTACGTTTAGTTTCAAATCTGCAAGTATCACACTTATACATTTGGACTTTTGAAGGGTCTTTGTGAATTAACTGATGATCTTTTAGATATCTCATCTGTATAGCTTCGTAAGGACAAGCGTCACATTTGTACATTTTGATTTCCGATGGGTCTTTATGCAATAATTGATGCAAATTTAGATGACTCTTACAGTCAGCTTCATAACCACATGTATCACACTTGTGCATTTGATTTTCCAAAAGGCCTTTGTGCCGCAATTGATGCTTTTTTAGACGAGCCTTAAATTTAGTTTCGTAAGCACAAGTATCACACTTCCACATTTGGATTCCCAAAGGGTTGTGGTACATTGACAGATGCCTATTCAGAAGATACTTATATTTAGTTCCGTAAGTACACATATCACATTTGTACATTGTGTACATTTGGGTTTTCAAAAGGCGTTTGTGCCGTAACTGATGCATTTTTAGATTACGTTTACGTTTAGTCTGAAAACTACATGTCTCACACTGATACACCTGAACTTTTGAAGAGTCTTTGTGCAACAACTGATGTCTTTTTATATACTTCTCAGAATTAGTTCCATAATTACACACATCACACTTGTACCTTTGGAATTCTGAAGGGTTTTTGTGCTTTAACTGATGTATATTTAGATATCTCTTACGACTAGTTTCAAAACTGCAGGCACCACACTTGTACATTTGACTGTCTGAACCACCTTTGTGCCGTAAGATATGCGCTTTTAGATTTGTCTTATATCTAGTTTCATAAGTACAAATATCACACTTCCACATTTGGATTCCCAAAGGCTTGTAGTACATTAACATTTGCTCTTCTATAGAGTCTTTGTGCAATTGCGCACTGCACTGATGCGCTTGTAGAGTCCAACTATATTTAGTTGTATAATCACACAGATCACACTTATACATTTGAATTTTTGAGGGATTTTCCTGTTGCGTATTAGTCCCATATTTAAATTTATCATTCATTTGAAATTCTGGTGTTTCGCTATTGCCTATTTGAATGTTATGAACCGACATCGATGTTTTAAAGTTTTCATTAAATCCTGACTCATATTTAAGTATCTGTTCACTCGTTATCGCTCCTATGTCTTCAGAAGCATATCTCTGCTTGTTTTCGTTTATTTCATTATCTAAGTCGTATGAAGACGAACTACTGAAAAAATTAAAATGAAATAAACAACTCAAAATGTGATAGATGTTTCTTCCAAACTATATTTTAAAAGATTTAAAATTATAGAAGTTTTAAAATTACTAAATTTTAGTGACATTTTCTTACCTATTCTCATTATCTTCCTCTACTTTGATTTCAATCTCTTCAGATTTAATATAAAAAGGCTTATCAGCACTATTAAATTTTTCCTGCACATTCTGACAATGGTCTTCTAGGTTTATTTCAATTTCTTTAGTTTTAATGTAATGTCGTTTATCAATACTTTTATATTTCTCCTGTGCATCAAGACAGTTCCTTAAAAAACTGCCATGAGTACGAAGCGAATCAAAACATGGTCCGCATATAACAGGATGACTGGTAGCACTGATATTCTACAATAAATAAAATAGTAGTGATATTTCCGGCAGAATTTCTATTGTTTCATTTTTTAAGAAACTAATGTAAAACAGATTGCATATTACAACTATTACAACTGTAAACAGCATTTCAGCTTAGAATACAGTAAGATATTTGCCTTGGTGTTTCATTGCAATTATTAAATCCAATGTATTATATACAGGATGTTACAAATTCGCTTCTCACTACAGGGATCTCAGAAATGGTAAGAGATACGAAGTAGCTTAAATGAGGGCAAACTTGAGTAATCAGGATTATGCCCCTAAAAAATCAAAGCTAACATGATGATTAGTTTTCAAAATATTTGAAACAAAATGAAATTTTGGAAATCCATTTAATTTCAGCCTTGTTTGAGGTGATATTCAAAAAAGAAGAAGAACACTTTCTCATGGCAACTGTTTGCCCTCTATCGAATGGCATAATCAAATAGTCATAATGAAATTAAAATTGTAGTAATGTTTTCGTTTTGACGCAACAAATTATCGAATTATGTATGACCAGACGATGAAGATTAAAACACTAATAATGTTTTAGTGTAATGTGTGATGGTAATAGTTTAAACAACTAGGTGAATTTCACAGGGTCTAATGACACTTAGAGTGTACAATACTTCATTAAACAGAAATCTAAATAAAAAATTAGATAGATTTGGAAGAAATACGTTTAAGACAAATTTTTCAAGACAAAACGTTTGAATCTGGTTCAAGCTGGGGCAGTACAGTATTGGGGGTCATCACGGCTTGCAAAAAATGTACTTAATAAAATTTCCAGGGTCGTATTTAAAAAAATTAAGTTGATGATGGACCTGGAGAGACGAAACGTTACATATAAAAATTGATTATGCCAAGGGGAAATATTATATTCAAATCTTCTTTCTATTAAATCGAATGCAGTAGCATCAGACGGAATCAGTTTACGTATGATATTAGAGCTTTGTCCTTCATTGTTACCAGTACTTACGCACTTAATTAATTTCTGTTTTGAAAAAAATGTTTTTCCGAATCAGTTGAAAATTGCTAATGTTATACCTTTGCCTGAAGTAAATAAGTCGCCATCAACTTGCTTATTTTAAAAGGGATACCCTATATATTATTGCAATTTTGGATTCTACGTGTTATTTTAGGTGGACTTTTGTGAAGTTTCCCTATTTCTAAAATTAACCGTTTTCGAGATATTTAATTTTTTTCAAAAAAATGGAAACAGTGACTAGCTTCAACCCATGTGTATTCTATAGTAAAAAAGATAAAGCAACAATATTTATAGGGGGGATAGCTAGACCCCTAAGCTTTCCATACATACTTTCAAAGCGGCTTAATTGCATACAGGGTGCTAGAAATTTAATGCCGAGTTTAGTTAACTTCAAACCTTCATAAGTCGGTTTTTTTAAATAGAACACCCTGTATGTTTTTCTATATTCTGATACACAATCTTATTCTCTAAAAAATCTTCTCTAATAAATAATAATAAATAACTAGTGACAGTTTAGTTGTTTGTTTTGAAGTTTTGCTAAAACAGCTAGCCTCGCAAGAAATTACATGATTTTAGGTGATTACACAAAAAATAGTAGATAACTTAAAAACTAGAAGAGGTATAGGGAACCCTCATATCGTTCGAAAGAGAATAAAATTGTACAGAACAGATATTCGCAATTTGAATATAAGATTTAAGAATACGTTATCTGTACCAACTCATGTAACATCTTTATTTCAGAGCTGCTTTAGTTATCAAATTACCAAATATTACAATTTAATCCCTCATTACTTTGAAACCTGTAAATTACCAATATTTAAGTCAAATGTTAAACAAATATGTTATCCGATAGATGTTTCTTAATACTATAATATATAATATACATCTATTTTGTACCAGTGGTATTACTTTTAGTCTTTATAATTGTTTTTTAAACTGTAATTTTGTGTACTTACTTATCTTAAATATGTTTGTTTTAATTTATTTCTACTCGTTAGATTTAGAAAAATTTGATTATAAATATTGTCTTTGTTGCAATTTGTTATTACCTGTATTTTTTCTTTTTGTTGTATGCAAATGAGAAAGTGTTCTTCTTTTTTCAATATCACCACAAACAAGGCTGAAAATAAACAAAAACAGATTTCCAAAATTTCGTTTTTTTTTCAAATATTTTGAAAACTTAGCTTTGATTTTTTAGAGGCATAATGTTGATCTTCTGATTATACAACTTTGCCCCCATTTAAGCTACTTCATATCTCTTACTGTTTCCGGGATCCCTGTAGCGAGAAACGAATTTTTAACAGCCTGTATATACATTTAAGACACTAACTCCTGCAATCATGGTTGGCACCTTAGCACATTAGCAACATAAGATACACCAAAATTACCAATATAAATATAATGAAGTTTCATTAATTTTGTAGCTTCTAATCAAATAATATAATTCCCTACTATTTATACTCAGAAGTTTCAATTTGGTGAAAAAAGTAGGTGCAACATTTTAGCTTCAATTTCATTTAATTTTAACACATACAACACATACAATACATATTTTCAAATATACTTACAACTTGTGGTATATATGTATCAATTATGTCAACATCTACTTCATTTAGTGACACAAATCCAGATGTTATCAACTGAAAACATAATCGACAAATTCTCTGATCTTCGGATATATTCAATTGAATACTTCCCTTCTCTTTTAGATAAACTTCTTTTAAGTCAACCGTTGATTTTTTACTGGCATTAATATGAGGAAAAATAATATCCTCAGTATTTATACATATCGACTTAAAATTAAACGCCGCAAATAATTTCACGGAACATACTTCACAGACGAAATGTTTATCTATTTCCTTCAAATTCTGAAACAGGTATAAATGATAACATAGTATATAAAATTTAAAATGCAATCATAACAACTTGATCTTACCACATCCGGCAGAACAATTTCTAGAATGTCGCTTATATCATCTATTTTTTGGCAATTTGTATAGCGTACAGTACTCAGACACAATCCGCAAAATGGTTCGTTTAAGTTTGCTGGTTGCATTATTTTTCTTTTTATAAGGAATTTTAAACGTTGTTGGCGATGGTGTAAAAATCATTCAATAACTGTGCATAACCTCAGTTATTGTTTTGTTTTTCTTCTTTTGACAACCACCCAGAGAGAACATGATTATAGAAACCATAGATCTAATAAAATTTATGATGGAAACACACTGAAAATTTTTGACAATGTCAAATCGTCAAATTTATGCTGTTATTCGCAGACTTTATACTTCTGAGCTATTATTCAATAACCTATATATATATATATATATAAAAGATGACCGCATTTAATCGATCTCTTCTTTTTATGTGGTGGGGTGGTGTGTGACAGTATGAGCTGCTTTCGTTTGTACCGTTTGATTACTCGTCACTCGTCAGATATTTTTTCGCATATTAGTGTCATATCGGAATGTTTTACTCGTCTTCTCGACTGGCTAATGAAATGCCAAACGATTTTGTGGCTTAATGCTCGGGTTTGCGCAATTGAGACACTACAAAAACAATTTATATTTTTTATACGTGCATCAAGGACATATAAAAAGTCCTTGGATGTAATAGTTCTTACTGAAACATGGAAGTTGGATGAAGTAAGCTGCTAGACATGACAATCCCCTCCTTAGGCAAGCCGTTGACTACGTACCCGACAAACACAAAAGACCGAGACATCAACTTTTTGACCCTGGGTGACCACCCCAACGACATCCCCCCCTGCCCGCTAACCTTTTCTGTTTCAGAGACCACCAGGATCAAGAAACGAAGACAACGACACACACACAAACACACATACACATACACACACCCCCATATCCACTTTACCCCTCTCCTCCCGCGCTAGCCTAAGGGCCATCTTAGCAAAGCGCATCCCAGGCTGCATAGCCGCACTACCCTATCCAACCATACCACACATAAACATGACACCACCCCCGGGGTTTACACAGACGAGCCGGCGAAGCAAGAAGAGCGCCAGAAGAAAGGGCCCTAGCCGGCGGGGCCCAGCCAGGACAAAAGGAGGTCCCACAAAGCGCCTACCCCGGCCGCAATTGCGGTCGGGGTAGACGACGGATGGGGCCCACCTACGAAGGCTGTCCAGGCCTACACGAGATGAGGCAGGATAAAGAGGGATAATCCCCCTCGATCCCAAATCATTTAGGCCAATTTCTAGCCATGGAATAATGGCGCGTAGCCATGGAATAATGGCGAATGATGTAACATTGTTCAACATTCCGGATTTTATATTATATACAGGGTGTCCCAGAATAACGTGTACAACGGAAAACCACAGATTCGTGAACACAAAATAGGTAGATTTAGGCTAATTCACCTATATCCGAAATCGCTTCGTTTGGCCGCTAAATGGCCTCAAAGTTCGTGAAATTTATTTGAATTTTTTAAATAACTCGAATACGTATATTAATTGATTTTGATTATTTTTGGAGTGTGGACTTTTGCTTTCAATCTACAAATTTTGCTGTTATACGGAGTGTTTTTTAAAACTTACAACTTCTACAAAATTGATGTATGATGAAAATATCCGTTCATAACTTTTTCCTCTTTTGGGCAATAATAACTATTATTATAGATTTAAAAAATATTTTTTGTACCCAAACCGCTCATTTAATCAAAATTCTACAAGAGTCCTAAAAACTTTCAAATGGTATCACCTTTCAAATAAAAATAGTTGTCATTATTGCCCAAAAGAGGAAAAAGTTATGAACGGATATTATCACCATACATCAATTTTGTAGTTGTAGGTTTTAAAAAACACTCTGTATATCATCAAAATGTGTTGATTGAAAGCAAAAGTCCACGCCCCAAAAATAATCAAAATCGAATAATTCGTATTCGAGTTATTTACAAAATTCAAAAAATTATCACGGACTTTGAGGCCATCTAGCGGCCAAACGAAGCGATTTCGGATATAGGTGAATTAGCCTAAATATGCCTATTTTGAGTCCACGAACCCGCAGTTCCTAGCGGGCAGCCGACCAGAGCACACGTGTTTTGTGAAAGTGTAGTGCNTTTTGATTATTTTTGGAGTGTGGACTTTTGCTTTCAATCTACAAATTTTGCTGTTATACGGAGTGTTTTTTAAAACTTACAACTTCTACAAAATTGATGTATGATGAAAATATCCGTTCATAACTTTTTCCTCTTTTGGGCAATAATAACTATTATTATAGATTTAAAAAATATTTTTTGTACCCAAACCGCTCATTTAATCAAAATTCTACAAGAGTCCTAAAAACTTTCAAATGGTATCACCTTTCAAATAAAAATAGTTGTCATTATTGCCCAAAAGAGGAAAAAGTTATGAACGGATATTATCACCATACATCAATTTTGTAGTTGTAGGTTTTAAAAAACACTCTGTATATCATCAAAATGTGTTGATTGAAAGCAAAAGTCCACGCCCCAAAAATAATCAAAATCGAATAATTCGTATTCGAGTTATTTACAAAATTCAAAAAATTATCACGGACTTTGAGGCCATCTAGCGGCCAAACGAAGCGATTTCGGATATAGGTGAATTAGCCTAAATATGCCTATTTTGAGTCCACGAACCTGTGGTCTACCGTTGTATACGTTATTCTGGGACACCCTGTATAATGATGGTGATTATAATCAAAAAGATGGTGTAATATTTATATTGGGAAAAACATAAATTACAATTATCAGATAAAAAGTTTTGAAAACATCAAAGTCATTAGTTTAGAAATTGAACATAATAATACGAGGATTCATATCACTGCTGTGTATAGGTCATCATGTTAAAATTTACAACAATTTGATGTAAATCTATGAATTTCTACTGGATATTAGTAGAAAAAATTATGATATAAACATTGACATCTTAGACATTGCAGACAGCCAAGAGTATCTAGATATTTTAAGTGAATGGGGTTATATCTCAGCCATCATATTTTTATCAATACCAAAATGCCCAACCGTTGCTTTCTACCTCTTTTCCTACAAACGCACCTAAGTGATCATTTCACTACAATTCTAAAAATTAATCTTTCACAAACTGAAAAATCAAAAAATATTTCACAAAACGAAAACAAAACATTTTAAATAAAGAAAAACTTATTACTTTTTAAAGGTTGAAAAATGGATTGATATAGTAGCTGAAAATGACAACATAGCATAAAACCTATTTCTTAACAAATTAGAAGCATTAATATGTCAATGTACCCATTCTCAAACTTTAATACGGAGCGAGGTAAAAAGAAACGTATAGATAACTAATGGTTCTCATAGTCAGTTCAAGAAAGTCCAAAAGAATCCAAATGATGTAAAATTAGTAGAGTTTAAATTATATAGGGACCGATTAAAAAATATTTTAAAGGAGGCTAAATTAAACTGTTTTAAAAGTCAAATTAATATTAACAATAATCCTAAAAAAATGTGGGAGTGTATTGAGAATATCGACAGATACAAAAAATAATGTTGCAGGAATAAGGGACGAGAAGGGTAAAGTGGTTAAAGATAAACGAGAAATATCTGAACATTTTATTAACCATTACACAGATTACGGTGTGTAAACAAAATAACTTCATCAAAAAAATATCTAATTTCATATTTATATCAGAAACTAACCCTCTGGAATTTAAACAATATTTAGCAGCTTTACAACCTAAGAAATCCACCGGAAATGATAAAATAAAACCGGGATCTTTAAAATTAATTGCTGATTATATCTGTGTCTCTTTCGAACATAATAATTAAATCTATTAATTCTGGTGTATTTCCAGACATATTTAAAAATGCTATGATAAAACCTATTTACAGAAGGTAAAACTGGAGTGATAAATTATACACCGATATCTTTAATAAGTAGTAAAGGAAAAAATATATAAAAAAATTCTTAAAACTCGTATTACCAGTTTTTTGGAGAAATATATTTTATCAAAAAAAAAAACAGTACCGTTTCAGGAAAACTTTCGACACAGTAAGTATATAACTGACAGTTATATAGAAAAATCAATACTGCGCAAAAATAGTCATAAAAATAATGTTAGGAAAAAGTTACACATATCCAACTGATACTTTATTTTCAGAATTCAGAATTTTTGACATTAGACAATTATATTTAGTTTAATTATCATACATTTTAAAACTAAGGCAAATGCAACACCAATACCACACCATTTCAACATTAGATTTGCTAAAAAAAATACCTTGATCCCTGAAGTACACAAAAGTAAAAGCCAAAAATTATTTACCTATCTTTGCCCAATTGCATATGCTGAAATTCCGCAGGATATAAGGGAAGCCCAGTCCCTTCCTGTTTAAGCAGAAAGCTTCGATTTTGACTAATAACTACTAGAAGTGAAATTCATCAAATTATTATTAAGAGAAGTAATGTTTGTGCGACTTAAATAATTTTTACCTAATAATACCTAAAAATATACACTAATACTGATATTATTAACCTCGTCTGATAAGGTCTTAAACAAATGCAGTGTTTTATTGTTTAATTATCCAAGTTTTTGTCAAATGGCATAGGCTTCAATATTTATATTTTATTATTTTCATTTCTAATGTAAATTATGTGATATTAAATTTGATTTTATAATTTTTATTTACTTGTGTAAATTTTTATAATGAACGCATGTTTCTTTGTGGATACATAATTTCACTATATTATATCTATATTTATTAAATTTACTATATTTACTTTATATTTACCTCATGGGATTTTTCAAAAATAGTTCTTGAATTAGCTTATTAAACCCTTAAAAATAATGTAAAAAAATAGAACTATTAAAATATATATTAAGTTATTAAAATTTAGCAATAATCATTCATTTTTCTTTGAGCAATCACTTTTTTAAATATAAAATAATAGTATTAGTCAGTTCGCACACTCGTAGGCACTGGCGTCTGGAGACAGTCCTAGGGCAACCCAATGAACTTTTCCGACTTGCCGAGTGCCAAGTTCTTAAGCTCTATGGTTACTGTTACTGTTACATCAGGTGGTCGGTGGTCTGTGTCTGTGATTTATGGTTATGTGGAGTGTCTCTGGTTATAGTCGTGTTGTATCTTACACATTCCGAGACAAGACGAACATAATAATATGTAATAATTTATGTCCTATGATGTAATATTTCAGATCACGAGCTGTTCAGTGTTTTTTTTTATTTATTTTAATTATGGTAATGAAAGCAATGCAGAAAATAGTGTTCAAAATTGTGAAATCATACTGTTTGTGAAGAATGCGGACAAACTTTCAAAAATAAAACATCTATCTTATCACACAACAGATGGAAACATAATCATTCAAAACACATTTGCTGTATATGTAAAGAAATATTTTTGAAGAAATTATTATTAAATCGACATAAAAAATGTGATCATAAAAATAATCAAGGCAACATATAATGAAACCAAATTATATTATGTTTATGTATGTATTCAAAATGTATATTATGTGTTTTAATATCTATTTATAAATATTCTAAAAATGAGAAAAATGTCGATTTTCTATTCAATAATAATGAAGCTGCCAAATAGTCCCAACTTAATTTAGATCAGTCTGTAGTATATATTTATAAATCATTAGGATCCTATAGCAAAGTACCATAATCAAGTGGAGAAAATTGAAACTCTCGCTAAGTATAAGTGAAGGGGATTGGGTTGCCCAAGGACTGTCTCCAGACGCCAGTCTCGTAGGTCTATTTGGGCCCTACCATAGGGGCGTTGTGTACTAACTGATGTACTTTTAGATACCTCTTATGCTTAGTTTCAAATATGCAAACATCACACTGATACATTCGAACTTTTGAAACATCTTTGTGAATTAACTGATGATTTTTCAGATATCTCTTTTGTTTAGCTTCATAAGGACAAGCATCACATTTGTACATTTTAATTTCCGATGGGTCTTTGTGTGTTAACTGATGCCCATATAGACGGCTCTTATGGTCAGCTTCATAACCACATGTATCACACTTGTATACTTCGCTTTCCAAAAGGCCTTTGTGCCGCCACCGATGCGTTTTTAGATGAACCTTAAATTTAGTTTCATAAGTACAAGTATCACACTTGTACATTCGGATGTCTTTGTGCAGTAAGATATGCATTTGTAGGCTTCTCTTATATCTAGTTTGAAAACTACACATATCACACTTCCACATTTGGATTTCCAAAATGTTGTGGCGCATTGACCGATGCCTATTTAGAACATACTTAAATTTAGTTTTGTAAGTACACATGTCACATGTGTACATTTGGGTTTTCAAAAGGCATTTGTGCCGTAACTGATGCAATTTTAGATTACTCTTAAGTTCAGTCTGAAAATTACATGTATCACACTGATACATCTGAACTTCCAAAGAATCTTTGTGCAACAACTGATGTTTTTTTAGATAATTCTCATATTTAGTTTTATAATTACACAGATCACACTTGTACATTCGGCTGTATGAACCACCTTTGTGCCGTAAAATATGTACTTTTAGACATCTCTTATATTTAGTTTCAAAACTACAAATATCACACTTCCACATTTTGATTCCCAAAGAGTTGTAGTACATTGACATTCGGTCTTCTGCAGAGTCTTTGTGCAATTGCATACTGCACTGATGCACCTGTAGAGTCCAACTATATTTAGTTGTATAATCACACACATCACACTTATACATTTGGATTTCTGAAGGATTTTTGTGTTGCACGTTATTAGTCCCATATTTAAGTTTATCATTCTTTTGAAATTCGGGTTTTTCACTCGTTGCCACTCCTATGTCTTCGGAAGAATATATCTGCTTGTTTTCAATTGCTTCATTATCTAAGTCGTATGAAGATGAACCACTGAAAAAATTAAAATTAAATAAACAAATCAAAATGTGACCGATGTTTCTTTCAAACATTATATTTTCACTATTTTAAGGATACCTTGCTTTTCAACCATAAAAAAGTAAGCATTAGTGCAAGTTTTAAAATTACAAAATTTTACTGACATTTTCTTACCTATTATCATTATCTTCCTCTACTTTGATTTCAATCTCTTCAGATTTAATATAAAAAGGGTTATCAGCACTATTAAATTTTTCCTGCACATTCTGACAATCGTCTTCTAGGTTTATTTCAATTTCTTTAGTTTTAATGTAAGATTGTTTATCAATACTTCTATATTTTTCCTGTGCATCAAGACAGTTCTCTAGAAAACTGCCATGAGTACGAAGCGAATCAAAACACGGTCCGCATATAACAGGATGACTAGTAGCACCGACATTCTACAATAAAAAAAATAATAGTGATATTTTAGGCAGAATTCGTTTTATTTTTTAGAATCTAAAGAAAAACTGCTTTTTTCAGCTTAGAATTAGGGAATACGAATAGTAAAATATTTGCCTTGGTGTTTCGTTGCAGTAAATCCAATGTATTATATATTTACACTTAAGACACTAACTCCTGCTATTAATCGCTGGTATCAGCACGTTAGCAACATAAAATACACCAAAATTACCAATATAAATATAATGAAGTTTCATTAATTTTGTAGCTTCTAATCAAATAATATAATTCCCTACTATTTATACTCAGAAGTTTCAATTTGGTGAAGAAAAGTAGGTGCAACATATACTTTTTTAAGTATTTGGTGTATGTAAGTCTTTTATGTTCAATTTCATTTATGACTGTATTTTGACACAAACAGTATCCTAAGAAATATTTTCAAATATACTTACAACTTGTGGAATATATGAATCAATAATGGCAACATCTACTTCATTTAGTGACACAAATCCAGATGTTATTAATTGAAAACATAATCGACAAATTCTTTGATCCTCCGAGATATTCAATTGAATACTTCCCTTCTCCTTTAGATAAACTTCTTTTAAGTCAACCGGTGACTTTTTACTGGCATTTATATAAGGAAAAATAATATCCTCAGTATTTATACATACTGACTTAAAATTAAAAGCAGCAAATAATTTCACGGAACATACTTCACAAATGAAATGTTTATCGATTTCCTCCAAATTCTGAAAGAGATTTGTAATTAATATATAGGTATAAATGATAACATAGCTTATAAAATCAATGATATAAATGTAATCATAGCAACTTGATCTTACCACATCTGGCAGAACAATTTCCAGAATGTCGCTTACAACATCTATTTTTTGGTATTTTGTATCGCGTACAGTACTCAGACACAACCCGCAAAACGGTTCGTTCAAGTTTGCTGGTTCCATTCTTTTCCTTTTTATAAAGAATTCTCAACGTCCTAAGCAATGATGTAAAACTTATTCAATAACTGTGCATAACCTCATTTAATATCTGTCTTAATAATTACAGAGAATATAGAAACAGACCAGACAGAAATTTTTTATTCATACGTTTGACAGTCATAACTCACAGACAGCCCCTCCTTCCCACCCCAAACACAACCTCGGGACGCACATACGCTGACATGACCAAAAAAACACAAAACAC